CTCTGTTCCCCAAGTAGCAAGCCTTTTCTCCTCAGTTGGAGCAGGCATATCTTCAGAAGCTGCTTTACGTTCAATATTTGTTTTCATTAAGTCTGTTGCTGCTTCAGCAGCCTCAATTCCTGCAGCACCAGTACAGTAGCTATTTCGAATTGTTTGCTTACAACATTTGTAACCCCACTGGTGATCCTTCCACCATGAGCCCCAAACGGTTGTGTGATTATTTATGTAAACATCTTCTTCATACTTGCTTTTGGGAAGAGATAATTCCATTCCCTTAATTAATCTTCCAGCACGATCATATTCCACCTGCCTCTCACTTTGCCCCAACAAAAGCTCCCTAGGGAGCTCTTCTTCACTGGCTGCGTTGCCATACTTTTCCATGATAGTATCTTTAGTCTTTGACTTTAATTTTTCCTTGATGACCTGATAATTTTTAAACAGCAATTCAGCCTGAGATGGAGCAGCTTGCATATGGATATCTTGGCCCTTTTCAAATGCTTCCCAGGCATGGATGTTGAGTTGCTTGAACTCTAAAGCTTGCCCACTTATTCTGTATTGATTATCACCTTCATAGAACTTCTCATTAGGATCTGCATCTGGAAGGGGATCTTCACGCATAGATCGAGTTTTCGGATCATAATATGAAGAATTGACATCAAGATTCAAAAGATATTTTGCTGTATCTTCCCGAATACGCAAGTTCCTAACAGTTCCAGTGCTTCCACCACCTGTAGTGCGGACACGCTTCTCAACCTTAGCAAAGTCCATCTGCTTGCTCTCATCTACCTTGGCTTCATCGACCCTCAGGGCATCTTCATCATCATCTTCATCACTAATCTCCCCCTCTTCATTATTCTTGCTATTTTTCTCTTCTAGTTTTTCCAGTTGTTGCTCTTTCAAGTACTTCTTTCTAGCCTCATCCCTTGCCTCATATCTCTCAATAACACGTGCATAAGTAGCTGCATCATAACCATTCCATCTGTCTCGCTTTCCATCATAATCCAGCTCAAATGTCTCAATCTTCTCATCAGGTGCAATGTGCATGCTCGTCCATTTTGCTCCTTTCTTGCGAGGCCTCTCCATGCATGTCTTTGCATTATGTGTCATTGCACCACAGTTTTCACATGCTCCCTTTCTATACTTATCAGCCTGAAATATCTTCGCACCTCTATCATACCACGATTTTGTGTAATTTGGATCCGACTTCCATTTCCGTTGATGCTTTAAACTAGGTCTCTCTGCATTTAGATACCATGGAGCTGATGACATATACTGAGGAATGTGAGGATTTATCTCCTTCCCATCCTCATCCACTTCAGCTGGTGCAAGCCCAGCTTTACGTGCTTCCTCCAATTCCATCTGCTTCCTGTGATCCTCCCTCGATTTGAATGCCACTGCAAATCCAACACAATGAGATAAAAAAGACCAAGAACGAACATTATCACATAATCATAACCAACATCTGAATTGTAACAACAATGGTTAGCATCCATATCTTTTAGAATTAATTTAAGTTAAACATTGGAAAAGAGTGACATTTAGGAAAATCTCAATGACAAACAGTGTCATAAGTTCATAACCAAACTAATTCTGCAACTGTTCACAGTAATTTCGTGGGTAAATATTAAATATTGTTTGCAGGGAAAGGGAAGATGTACAGTTAAAGAAATGGGGGAATCGTAGAGGAGGAGAGCATACCTGATGCAGTCGCCATGGCGATCGGCTTTTGGAATATAAGGCAAAGAGATTCTAATATCCGCTAATCACAGTGATTTATTTCCGGTAGGGAACAAATCGAACCCGATATCTTGTTGTGCTTCCTTTTCGTTTCAGCAAACTAGGGTGAAGATTTGGGGAAAAAGAAAACAACTTTTCTTCGCCGTTGAGCGGGAAATCGGATTCTGATCAGAGAACCGGGATCCAGAGCAAGAGGGATGAAGATGAAATCAGGCGCTGAAACTCGAGAAACCTAATTCTCCGCGTCTTCAACCTGAAGAAGACGAGTACGACAGACAATAAGAAAAGACTAAAGAGAAGGATTTAATTTAAAAAAAAAAAAAAAAAGAAGAGAGGAAAAATAAAATAAGCCGCCCTTGTGTTTGGGTTGGGGTCTTCCAATTGTGTGGGCTGGGCCGTGTTTTACTTTTTGGTGAGTTTTTATGGTTCGCATTGTTTTTTTTTTTTTAATGAAATAAATTAATGATGTAATTAATATATTTTTTAATTATTAAATTATATAAAAAATAAAATTTGAGTTTAATTTTATTAAAATAAATAAAATTAATGATAATATTATAATTATAATATCACATACAATTATAAATTTATAATTATAATATAATATTAAATAAATATAATGTAATATTATAAAAATAAATACATATAATATTATAAGTAAATTTTTAATAAAACAAGCAAATTTTATAATGAAAGAGTTTGATATAATTTAATAGTTTATAATAGTACATGAGATTATAATTATAATATTTTTCTTAAATTAAT